AGTATTCATCCCTGTCTCTCCGATCTCCTTTTATATCCTCCCAATTAGTGAGATGTTTGCTCGACAGCACACATGGCATCGGACACAACTGCCACTGCTCGAGATACGACAACGAAACGGAGACCCGATTGTCTCTTATGCTCCTAAAAGGAAACGAATCACAACAGAGGTGACGATTCCTGTCTTACCGTATTTGCTGTAGAGTCGGGACGATTTGGCTGTTGCGATAGCTTGTTAGCACCTTTACATTCTCGGGTTTAACTTTCTTCGTGACATCACCATCTAAGAGAACCTAAGTGAGGAGAAAGTGCATCGGTTGTGGTTGTGATTGATGTTGCTTACAACGTAACGCTGTAGCTGCTTGTCGAAGTCCTTACACTCACCGATACTTCCATTGAGTTTATAGGCGGCGATGAGGCCCTGAAGAAAGGAGACCCCGAAGGGCAAAATGCGAGCTCTATGGTGAGTAAAGAAAACGATGATAAGAGTATTCAATGACGGCAATACACTGGATGCCAATTGGTATCTACTAGATGAATATCAATGGTAGGGGCCGTTACGATGGTGAACTACGCCCCACGATAGAGGTAAGCGTACATGGTCCATAGAGAGCTCATGTTTTAGTCCTTTTCACGGAGGGTGATAGGCTCAAGTATCCTGAAACGCCCAAACCCAAGACTACAAACCTTTTATTTCGATGATGACCTATAAGGAAGAGTCCCCACGAACAGTACTTGCAGTTCGACGACGCAGCCTGTGAGAAGACGTCGTAGGTTGGGCCCTCTGACTCGCTTCGTCACGTTGGTCTCATCCAGTCTCACATCATACCTATAGGGAAAGTAGTATTGAAATATCTTCAAATCGGATCCCTACCTCTGTGATAATTGGTCGAATCTGACTATCCTACCAGTTTGGCCGTCTAGCCCAGGATAGTCACGTAGGTCAACAAGTCTTACAGCGTCGCCTCTTTCGATACCAGTTATATCCTCATCGTTATGAATGCTCATGGGAGAGTCAGAAGGAGATGGTAGTGCCGTCATCGTTAATAGAAGCTATTGGCTTGGACGTGAGATAAGGGTGGAATTTCGTGGCGCGTGAAGTTTTTTTGTAATTTCGTGGCGCGTGACATTTTCATCACGATGTCAATCGGGTCGTACGTCGATTCGGGCTCTCTAATGCATTCGAACACCTCGAGCCCTACGGTTAGTCTAGGGAGCCGCGAGGGTTACCCTCGGGACCCTCATTCACTTCTGTAGTACACCAGGGTGATACAATTACTGTATCACATCCTTGTTTTGCTCGCGCGGGACGTAGTTCTGAAATTTTATTTGGGAGAACTTTTTTCTGTAGACGAGGTTACTGTACTGGAAGAGCAACCCCGAGTCTTGCTCCGGTAGAGCTTCTCTTTTCGTTGAATACCTAGGCTTAGGTGGCAAAACATAATCTGGAGACGCCTTCTAACGTCGTAACGCTCGTATCTTAAAACGCCCAGCCGCCTGGTACACGCCTCAGATGATCGCTGAGCACATTTCGAGTCAGCTCAATGGGTTCTCCATCTCGCCCTCTGGGTTCGTCGATTTGAATGTAAGTCTTCTTGATGTAGTTTTTACTCACTATAATGTCTACCAATGGCGTCACCGGCTCGAACGTCTCTCAAGTGATCACCGCGGAGCTTTCATCCGATGATACACGAGAGCGTTCAGCACGGAGGCTAGCATTTACCTCGTTGACTCGCTCCGACAAGGGTGTTCGCTTTTTCCTCGACCTGTTCATAGTGTACGTGTCGGTCATCATAGACTTCATGGGCTATACCCTATTGGCGCCTCTGCTCTCTACCATAGTTGACCAACTGGGCAGTGGTGGGTTCTCTGATGACGCCTTTGCAGCGTCGTGGTTGATGGCGATGTACGGCCTTGGTCAGTTTATCTCTGTGATGATAATGGGCCCCCTCTCGGACCGAGTGGGCCGGAGGCCGGTATTCATCCTAGCCTATTCGTTGACATCACTGGTCTACCTCATACAAGGCTTTTCCAACTCGTATTGGATGTTCGCAGTTTTGCGACTGTGTAACGGCTTGACGACTGGGACGAGACCTGTGACCTTCTCATATCTAGGGGACATCGCTCCACCAGAGAAAATGCCACTGTATTCGTCTCTGGCGGGGGCGATGGTTGCCATAGGCGCCTTGATGCCGTTGCTAGGGGGCAGTATGGGGACCATCACTTGGCGACTACCAGTCTTCTTCTCTGCTGGTATCACCTTTATCATGGCATGTTTGGCCTTTATTTTCCTCAGGGAGTCCCTAAAGAAGGGCAGTACGGTTGTCGATAGTGGAGGAGTGGCCAATGGT